GGGTATGGGGTTGTTGGTGGGGTTACTGGGGGTTCTGGACCCAAAAAAAAAAAAAACGGACCAGCCAACTGGTCGCCGTATGCAACACTGACACCCGGTAATTATCGCTGTATCTAGACTTAAAGTTGCCCCAAATACCGCCCAGCAATTATCGCTGTATCTAGACTGAAAGTTGCCCCAAACACCATAACACTACCGTCTTCGCCTGAATAGAGCGCCCGGTAATTATCGCTGTATGTAGACTGAAAGTTGCCCCAAATACCGCTGTAATGACCGGGCGTTCTATTTGGGTGAAGACGGTAAGGGTTATACCCCATTCCACTTCTGATATTGGGGGAGAGGGGGGAAGGACAGGATCGATCGGTAATGAGTGTAACCACCAAAACCAATGTTATTTTCCATTTCCTTTCCCTGCCAGCCTTCAGGGATTCCATTTCCTCAAATACGTTCTTTGTTTCTGAAGGCATGGCGAGAAACCATTTCAACCAAGCTCTTCGTTCTTTTTCTTCTCATTCATAATATTAGCCTTCCAGCAGGAACACGCAATCCTTCTGGAATTTTTCTGGTCGATAGGGGAGCCGGACACTGCTGTCCACTCACACACTCACGACCAGACAATCCTGTCCGGCCTTCTTCGGGTTGACACCAAAGCAGAACACTCCTGTTCACTCACGCATTGACCGTCTCTTTTATTTTTCCTTCTTTTCCTCCTTTTGTCGGATACTCGGGGGACGTGAGGCAGGAGGGAGGTACGAGAGATGTAGGACGGACATAGGCGGGAGATAGGAGGTAGGTAGGAACGAGGCAGGAGGAGGCAGGGACAAAGCAGGGGCAAGGCAGGGGCAAGGCAGGAGCAAGCATTTATAAGGAGCAAGGCAGGAGCAGGGCAGGAGCAGGGCAGGAGCAAGGCAGGGGCAAGGCAGGGACAAGGCAGGAGCGACGCATGAGCGAGGGAGGAGTGAGGCAGGAGCAAGGCAGGGGCAAGGGGACGAGCAAGGGCAAGGCAGGGCCGAGGCAAAGGCAAAGAGGCAGGGACAAGGAAAAGGGCAAGGCAGGGGCAAGGCAGGAGCAACACATGGGCAAGGGAGGAGTGAGGCAGGAGCAAGGAGGCGGGCAAGGGCAAGGCAGGGCAACGCAAAGGCGAAAAGGCAGGGACAAGGCAGGGGCAATGCAAAGGTGAAGAGGCAGGGACAAGGCAGGGGCAAGGAAGGGGTGAGGAAGGGGTGAGGAAGGGGTGAGGACGCAGTGAGGACGAGATTCGTCTCACCTTAATCTCAAAGATATCCTTTCTTCTGAATGCCACAATACAATCCCCAGGCCGAATTGCTCTGAAATCACCTCGCAAGGACTCCTGAGTTGCCAGGCAGCCAGCCATTTGACGACCGAGTTCGCATTCAGAAGTTAGAACATGCCATGCCCTAAAAGCCGAACCACAAACCAAACGCATTGGTGTGCCACATAAGTATCATTCCATCCTCAGCACTGCTTCAACTTTGACTCCATTATGCTTGTTTTTTAAACTTTTTTCCCCCCTTAATAGATTTGGAGCATTTCTCAGTTGATATCTGGCATCAGTCAGCGCCGGCCAATCATTCCAATTCAAACAGAAGTCCCAATGGACAGATGCACTTATCCCCAACACAATACAGCAACAAGAAGCACATTCCAGCTTCTTGGCCTCTTTAAACTCCATACCTAAGAGGGGGTTGGCCTCTAACATTATTATTGTACACATTGAGACTAAGGGCCTCGCTCCACTATACAACACTCTGCACGCATTTGGACGCTTTCTGGACAGAGTACATGCAAAATGTTGAACTTGTCGGATTGGAACTGGTCCAGAAAGTAATTCAAATGCATGTACAGCGTTGTGTAGTGGAGCGAGTCCTTCACTCAGAAAGATCCATTTTTGGTTTTTCGGCCAGTATCGGACAGCCGATTGCAGGCGGGGAGGGGAGGACCAGTGATGATTCAGTGTGTTTATATGGGTCAAGGGTATTTCACTCACGGAAGGGGTCTGAACATTTGTCAAGGTTCATCCGACTGTCAAAATTCCTCCTGACCGGGATCAATCAATACAGTTGGGTGGTAACTCTGGCCATAAGCAGGAGTGTGTTCAGACCATCCATTCGTATTCTCTGCCTGCCAGGGGAGATGGAACTGGACGGTTGCTCTCCAGAATAAAACAGAGCCAGGACCAGAAGGCCCTGTACTCAAATCAAGGGGG